TTTCTCTCACTCTCTCTAAAGAATGGCTTGAGACTAAAGTGTTACTACTTCATACATTAAAACGTGTTTTTTCCCTTGACTATACCAATAGCTTTAGATACATATAAGAGTTTTAAACATAGACCAAAATACTACTACTGTATGCTAACTCCATATTTAGTCCTTGCTTAAACTACTAAGTCAACACACTCTGAAATGTTAACCCATCCCCATGAGAAGTAAACTAGACATAAGCAATTTATTATAAAGGAACTGTAATAACTCCACTTTCCAGATAACAAGATTTTCTACTTTACCTTAGATGGCGAAGATTCCGCTGGGGCAGATTCTGGCCGTCTTCGTGGAGGAACAGGAGGGGGGATGGGCACTTCATCAGTGCCCCTGGTTAAACTTATAGATGATACTGAAGCAGATCCTGTAGGATGTTAAATTTTTTAAAAAGTTCACAGGAATTTTATTTGATATATTCATCTTGAAAAGGCTTAGCTGGAAACTGCTTTTAATTTATTCAAAGAAATATACAGAAGTATCAAAGCAGTTTAATAAACAAATACCCAATAGAATCTCATTTATCAAAGCAAAATACTATAAAAGCATGCAGAAATTTCTTAGCAGAATTTTTAGAAAAAGGGTACCTAGGATATTGTTATTTTGCTTCTTGAACAAAATAACGTTCTGTTAATCTATTACTGGGATTTTAATGGGGTCTGACTCTTACATTTCTGGGACAGACAGCAAGCTAATAAAAATTTTTGAAACAGTAATTTTTGTTATGCTTTATGGTAGGCTCAATTTTTTTTTCTCTCCAACTTAATTTCCCTGCCCTTACTGGGGAATATTGTCTGGTTTTTATTACTCTTCCCAGTGTCTCCCCTCAGCAATTCTCTCAAAGGATGCAAAGGGGAAAATTTGGTGTCTAGGGAGAGGTCTCTCTTCATTTTGATTAGGCTTAGGCTCTCCTTAGCAAGTAAGCAAAATCAGGTTCATCATTCTCTAAAAACTTTCACTGTGGTGGAGCTATCCAAGACAACTGAGGCAGCCCTGGCAATGAAAAGAGATATTATACTAAAACCTAGTGATCCTGATTTAAGAATAAGTTGATGTATTGGCACAAAGAGGTAAGTAAAACTTCTAATTGGAAATGATCTTACAGTTATGGTGAGGAGGGCAAAATGTAGGCATTTAAATAATTATACTTTGAAACATATAAGTTGTTAGCTAGTTTATATTATAAACACCATAAAAAAGATATGGAAAAATATTTAAAGAAACTGTCATTCAAAATTACACTTGACAAGTTCCTTTTTTCTTTTTAGCATTAAGCTTTTGTTAATTCAATGCTATAAAAATGTAGAACTTAAAAGAGTATTTTATATACTGTTCAAATGATCAACATTTTGATCACCTTTTAAAAACAATTATATAGTTAATTTAATTTATAATTAATATTTTCCGTTGCACACATTTTGAAATCAGTTCTATGAAGAGACAGCAAAAATATTTTTTACTTATTAGCTTAAAATAATTTAAATAATAGAATTTAGTAAACTGTTTCCTTTCAAAGCAAATACCTACAATGGAATTTTATTTGATCAGTGATGAGTGTTTAGGCCTTGTAATTTCAATAGTTACAACTGTACCAGTTCTTCTCAAGGCAAAGGCAGTATTTGCCTGCAATCTATACTGTCACCAGGCTAAGGGTATCTTGTGATCTAGAAACTGCATATAGCTGCCAGCATTCCCACATGCGCATGCATGCTCTTGCTTCTTTTTTCAAAGTTGAGCATTAAAAGATACTTAGAACTCTGTAGCTGGAAAAGAGAATGGTTAAATATGAAAGCCACTCATTAAATATGTCCTTTTAAAAGAGAGAAAAGATTTACAAAAAGCATGAAAAGTCTATAAATTTAAGCAAATTATTTGATCAAAAGATAGCATAAGTGAAGGCCTCACTTCTAAGATGTTGCAAGCAAGGTCCCAACGCTGCCAGACCCAAAAAGAGTTTTAGCGGGAAAGGTTATACTTGGTTTGATTTTTTAAAGCCAAAGCAGGATTATGAGTCTTAAACCAAATATACTAACTTGGGCCATGGGGCAGTGTAACTTGGATAAAGACGGTATCGCTGCCTGTGAAAGGAAACAAGAAAAAGTAGAATTTTTTTTCTTTCATTGATATATTGAACCCATCTATAAAAAAATTATGATGAAAATGTTATTTCTGTCATTCTAGTTTTAAAGAATGCTGTAACAGTTTTTAGTAAAAGCTCATTACTACTTACTTCTGAGAAGAAAAAGATAATTGAGTTAATGTCATGCTGGGAATTTTGAAAACTGTTTCAGATTTACTACTTCATGTCATGATAATTAAGTAAGAGATATTCATGAAAAAACTAAAATATCCTGGGCCAGCTAGATCCCACAAGGCTGACTAAGCAGTTTCAGTCTAGACCCAATGGCTTGAAAAACACACTGGGTGCATGTGTATGCGTGCCCAAAGTCCTGAGAGGAGAATGAAGAGATAGCAGCATGGTCATCTCCCTGAGAGGTATTTTCTCATTTTCCCTCTCTTTCTCTCTCTCTGGTGAGTACATGCATTCTAGAGCAAATGAAAAAAAAAAGGAAGGGGGGACTCTTAAATATCCTGTATTACTGGAAGATGTAAAAACGTGTAAACCCATTTCAAGCAAAGAATTCACTGAACATCTCGACATATAGCATTTACTAAAGAGTATCTTGAAAACTCAAAATTTGTAAAACAAGTAATGAACAACAAACTTATTTCATATATATTGAGAAATAAAATGGAGTTTCTTACTGGTATTATATACCTATGGAAAAAGTTGTTGGTTCATTTAGTCTTACAAAACAAATAGAGCTTTGGTTATTTAAAAAAAGCTTAAAAGTTGTACAACTTTTCTCTCCTATATTCATAAACATGTTTTTAAAAAGTCAATAAATGGGGCTGGCAGCTGGTATGGTGGTTAAGGGCGCTGTACTCCCATATGGCCGACTGAGGTTAAGTCCTGGATTTGGTGGCTTATTTTCTCACTTTCTCTCTCCCTTCTCTTTCATTCTGTTCCTCTCTCGTCAAATTAAAATAAATAAATGAATAAAGTTAAATAAAATAACTTTTTAAAAAAATTTATTATTTAGAAACATTTACACAGGAACCTCACTAATAAATTTAGAATGCCCAATTATAACAACAATAATTCTTTTTTGAGGGGGATAGGTTTTTACTATAGGGTGTGTGTGCTCGCCAGAAAGTGACAGACAGACAGCGAGAAATCACTGGGGGGATGACCACGCCGCAATCCCTTCTCCTCCATTCTCCTCTCAAGATCTTGGGTACACATGCACACGTGCACCATGTGAGTTTAAACCACCAGGTCTGAGACTCTTACCGAGGTTGGCTACATGGGAGTCCAGCGACATAGCCATTATGCCAAACGCTGGTCCCAACCACAGTAAGTCTTTTAAGAAAAAAAATTGAGACATAAAAGCCAAAGACCCAAGAACATTAAGGGAAGAAAAATGAGACAAAGGCTGGATGATCTAGACTGGTTCTAAACAGTAGAGCCTTTTACACCCCACCGCCTCGTATTACTAACACATAGGACAGATAATACACAAAACACTAAACTACTCCCCTAAGAACGGACTGAGCCAATATTTAAAAACTCAGTTTTCTCTCACTTAAAAAAAAAAAAGGGCAGCCACTCACATAAATAACATTGTTCATTCCAGCTTATTTGGTCAAAAGGAGGGCAACTTTATTTTCCAGGTTCAGGTGCTGTGATTCCCGTTGATTGCTCACAGAGATAGAGTGCTCTTATTTTTCAGGCAGCTCCAATTTTAATCTGCCCCATTATCTCCTTTCCATATGTACTGATATTTGGAACCCATGATTACTAAGCATGACAAGCCAGCAAACTCTAACTAGTTCTCTCTCAGAGGACTGAAACTCATTTTATACTCTGAAATTACATGAAGCTATTGGTGCCAGTGATTTTCTTCACTATTAGGCACCTATGACACAATAGGAATTAAGGGAGTGTCTAGTGCTAGTGTTTATCTGCTTAAATATTTCCCACTTCTCTTTAAAAAGAAAGAAATATACCTCCTGGAGATAAGCCTCAAGATTATGGCCATACGTTTAGTATAATATAGGAATAAAATCAAAACACAAAGCCATGACTCTAGCTACAAACTAGAGTACTTTTGAAGGAATCATACATATGCACACACACACTTGTGTACACAGATGTAAATTTGGCTTTGGTCAGGTGTAGATGAATGTATTTTGTAGACAGGGGCACCTCTCTGATCTCTTACTTTAGACTAGTTGCTTGGTCTCACTGCCCAGAAAATGTTTTTTAACAATTCTTTTAGAATTTTACAGGTCCAAACCAAGAAATACACACTAGAAATTCTTGTCAGTTAGGCAGTGAAAAAAATTATTCATAATGACTTAAGAAATCCACTTAATTAGAAAATTAGTATTAACCTACAAAGTATAAGTCCCAGATGACAGACCAGTGATTCTCAATCTTGGCTGTATATTTAAAAACTCCTTTGGGGGACCAGCATATTGTATAATGGTTATGTCACTGGACTCCCATATAGTCTACTGAGGTTCAAGTCCTGGACCGGGTGGCTTGAACTCACGCTGGGCAAGTGTGCATCTGTGCCCAAAATTTTGAGAGGATAATGAGGGAGAAGGGACTGAGGCATGGCAATCTCCCCTGGGGGGGGGGGTGATTTCTCGCTTTCTGTCTCTGTCTCTCTGACAAGCACATGTGCCCTATAGCAAAAATCTCTCTCTAAAAATATTAATAAATAAAAAATCAGAGCTGGCAGGTGGAATGGTGGTTAAAGGAGCTGGACTTCAACACGGCCATCTATAATTCAAGTCCTGGATCTGGTGGCTTCCTTTCTCACTTTCCCTTCCTCTCTGATCAAATTGGAAAATGATTCATTTTTAAATTTTAATTATTTTAAATTTATTTAAAAATTAATAAAAAATTTAAAATTAAAACCTCCCTTGAAGTTCAAAACAAATGCTAATGCTCAGGGGTTAATGCCAGTGTAGCATGGTTGGCCCTAGGCATTTTTCTAAAGCTCCCCTAAGGAATATACTGTACAGTCAAGGTTGAAACCACTGAAGATACTCCCCAGTTTATAAAGGAGTCATTCTTAAAATAGAAGCAAGCATTTTCCTACAGGAAATAATGATATAAATGATAAATAACTCTCAAAAACCTGGTAACTGCAAATATATTTTAGACTGCAAACTTATCACAGTAACGACTTTCCACAAAGAAAAGCCTGTGCTCCAGTTGGAAATGCCTGTAATCCATCGTTTGCTTGGGAAAGCTTCCCTACTCAGGGACGGAGACAAAGTTCATCTCCAGCACACAGACCAGGGCAGAACTCTGGCTCCCTTTTATGACCAGGCAATCTTCAAACAGGAAGGGAACAGAGCGTTTCCTGTCTCTGCTATGGCAGCTCATAGAAGGCAGCGGACCAGGTGATTTTTCTCTTTTCCCAGCTATTGTCCTTTCTACCTCAATGGTAAATCTGGCCAGGGCAAGGTGTGAAACAGGCTGTGAACGTAAGTGGCAGCACGAGGTGGCCAGTTCCCTTTCCTGTCTTTACTATGACCACACTTGCCCATTCTGAGGTCATCTTTCTGTAAACTTGCACAGCATATATGTCTTCATTCCTCACTCAGCATTTAACTATGATCCTCTTTGAATTGTGATTGATTGTTTCTCAGTAAAACCGAAAGCCTTCCCAGAAGTATTAAGTGCTTAGTAAGGAGTAAGGTATACAGCAGATACGAGCTGAAAGAATTAAAGGTCTGAGTTAGTTTATTTTGGAAAAGAAAACTAAAAGGGACAAAAAAAAAATAGCATTATAGCTGTTAAAAATTCTAGTAAAATCTGTTATTTTAAGTTTTTACTAAGAGCAAGGGGGCATAGCGGGGGAGTTCTTCATCATAAAGACAGATAAATTGAGAAAATCCTCAAGTCTAAGTCTAAGAGCCTTGACTCCTAGAAAATTGTTTTTGGTACTTGTCCAGCTGCTTAAGTTAACACTGTTCCACTGCCACGTATAAAAGCACTGATGCAGCATACTGCATTCCAGAATAATTCCTTCTTCCTTGTTTGACTCATCATCTAAAGGTTTAACGTGTTTACTTTCTCTACTTCCATTTAAAAAAAAATATTTTAAAAGATTTATTTAATTTTATTTATTTTTATTATTTTTAAATTTGTTATAAGGCATGTGCACTCACCAGAGACAGACACAGAGAGAGATACAGAAAGAAAGAGAAAGTGAGAAAGCAAGCCACCAGGTCCAAGACTTGAACCATGGTTGGCCACGTGGAGTCCAGCACCCACCATGCCACCTGCTGGCCATACTTCTTCCATTTTTAAGCTAAACCAAGAGAAGTACAATTTGCAATTAATAGCTTTCACGTGATTTCATTAATGCACTTATAACTCAGACCTATTAGCTGTCTGCTCTGGGGGAAAAAATTCTGCAGGGAGTTAAATGGGTCGGACTGAACAATGATTTGAGTCAGGTATACCGAAAAAGTGCTAGCTTTATTTTTATTACTTAATTTAGCGGATTGGCAAATTGGGGAGAATAAATGGAGTGTTTTAAACCTGGTATCTATTTGAACTTACCGAAAGTATCTGACAGCTTACTATGTGTTTACCGTGACTCCATGGTCCTTAGTTGCTGAAAATGCCAGGTTGTAGTCTCAAGACAAATGTACTTCAGAGAGTGCAAAAACAAGATAGACTGCTGGATAACTATAAATACATGTATACTACAGAAACAAATAGAATTCTGGGCAAATTTCAAAATAATAATATACTCAGATAATTATTTTAGGTGGATTTTTAGTTAAATTTTCTGAGTTGAGAGAAATCTTTTTTTTTTTTTTGGAGAGGTTTTTGCTATAGGGCATGTGCGCTCGCCAGAAAGACAGAGACAGAGAGACAGAAAGTGAGAAATCACCCCCCAGGGGGGATGGCCACGCCGTAATCCCTTCTCCTCCATTCTCCTCTCAGGATCTTGGGCACACACGTACACGCGCCCGGCGTGAGTTTAAGCCACTAAGTCCAGGACTTGAACCGTAGTCGACTACATGGGAGTCCAGCGACATAGCCATTACACTAACTGCTGTTCCCTCGAGTTGAGAGAAATCTTAAAAAACTCAATTTCACCCCAAAAAGACACAGAAGAAGTATTTTATCTGAAATCAGAAAGCTCACTAGCAGATTGGGATGACAAAGCAGGATTCCAAGCACCTAGGTCAGTGTTTCTCAAATTCTTCCTTCATAATAATGTCGTGCCACCTTTGGTATTAGGCTCTATTATGGCAAGTACTTGGGCAAAACTTGATCAGATGTGAGTTAAGATAGCCAGTGAAAGAGCCTATGGAAGTAGTCGTAAGAAGGTTAAAGATGACTGGATTTGATTTTGATTTAATAATGAAGACATGAATCAGGCATGTGCATGAGTGCCCGGGATCCAACAGGCTATAAGGACGGAAGGAATGGGATCACTACAGCATGAACAGACCCCATGGAGTGTATTTTCCTCTGCCCCTCTCCCCCATCTCCCTCACACGTGTGCATGTGCATTGTATCATGGAACAAAAAACTTAAAAAAAAAAAATCATTGGCAATCTAGATTTAAAAGATTGCCTCTTTGAAGGGCTGGACCTGAGCTGTACGTGTGGTGGCCAGGTGTGATTCATGAGCATTTGACTGTGGCTTGTTCACTGAGATGTACTGTGAATGTAAAACACACTCTGGATTTTAAAGATTTAGAACCAAACAAGGGATGTAAAATATCTCAGTAATAAATGTTTATATTAATTTCATGTTGAAATGATAATAACTTGATATACTGGGGCAAATAAAACACAAGTCTTCAAAAAGTTCTTACATGGATCTTGTAATTTTTTTGCATCATAATAAACTTGTACTTTAATTACATTTTCCAAGAACTTTTTGAAGTATCCTTATATATTATTTAAAATTAATTTTGCTTACTTATTTTTGTTTTTTGCCAGTGTGGCTACCGTATCTGTGGCTCACATTGTATTTATATTGGACAATGCTGGTGTAGAAGTAAGAGGGGTAAGCAGTAGTACACCATCCATGAGATGTGTACGGCTGTGCTGAAAGCATAGGCAGAGTAGTAGCAGGCACAATAGATGCTCAGGTACCATGGGGTAGCCACAGGAAGGGTTAAGTGGGAGTTGGACCTTGATACATTACAAAATTGGAAGGTTTGAAGAATTTAGTATAGAGAAGATGTACACTGAGTAGTATTCAAATATAGTAATTTTGGAGAGAGCATTTAAAACACAGGACTGATATTCCTTGCAGATTTTAAGAATGATCTTTGTTTCCCCTGGATATGAGGGATGCATTTGAAATACTCATATGAAATTTAAATTACCAATTTTACCACCAAATCCTTCAGTCAAGTAATGGGTTGTTAAAAAAAGTCATGACTCATTTTTGTATAGAAAAAAAAAATGTCATGACTGCTCTGAGAAATGAATATAATAAATTCAAAGAGGGCTGTTCAAGTAGATGTTTTTAAAATTACCTGCTGGATTTTAGAATTTATTTTGTATTTATAGTAATATCTCCTGAAATAGTATATGATTGTATTCAAGTTCACACACACACAAAGATTTTTGTTGTACCTCTAACACATATAACTCTAACAATTATTTTAAAGTAATTAAAATTCTAGCACCTACTTGAGTGAAAAGGGCTTGAATGATCAGAATCAAACACGCTGCAAACATCTGTGGTACTGGAAGCACCAGAAGCAGGAGGAGGTGTTAACGGTGTTCTTGGAGAATTGGGTGCAGAGGCTGTACTCTCTGTTTCACTTTCAGGGATCCGACTGTAACTAATTTTTCTTGGCTCCTGCTGCAGAGGTGTGGGATGTCTCATGGTACCAGGTCTCGGGTTTGATGGACGAACACCGGGAGATTTTAGGGGATAACTATATTTTTTTGGCTGTAGACATATTAAAAAAAGAGACAAAATTTTTAAAATACCATAGTGGAAACGAAGGTTTTTTTTTCTCTATGTACCTGGTAAAATTCAACTAGTATCTAGGAAAAGCATAAATCACTAATAAGTTGGTATAATAATTCAAATCAAAGTCTCTAAGCATTAATTTTCCATTTTGTTGCAACCTTGTCTGACTTTTAGTCCTATAAATACTAGAGTGCTACTTTAATATTTCTGGATAAAACATTCTTTTTTTTTTTTTGGAGAGGTTTTCGCTATAGGGCGCATGCGCTCGCCAGACAGACAGAGACATAGAGACAAAAAGTGAGAAATCACCCCCCAGGAGGGATGGTCACGCTGCAATCCCTTCTCCTCCATTCTCCTCTCGGGATCTTGGGCACGCACGTACACACGCCCGGCGTGAGATTTAAGCCACCGGGTCCGAGACGCGAACTGTGGTCGACTACGTGGGAGTCCAGCGACATAGCCATTACGCTAACTGCTGGTTCCCCGATAAAACATTCTTTAAATCTATCGTATATTTCTGGTTTTTTTTTTTTTTTTAAAGGTTTTTGCTATAGAGTCTGTGCACTTGCTAGAGAGAGAGTTAGAGAGAGGGAAAGTGAGAAATCACCCCACAGAAGGGATAGCCATGCTACAATCCCTTTCCATCCATCTCCTAGGATTTTGGGCACATATGCCCAGGGTGATTTTCAAGCCACTGGGTCTGGGACTTGAACCGTGGCTGGCCTTGAGGGATCCAGCACCTTAACCACTGTGCCACCTGGGAGCCCCTTCTCTGGCATTTCAAGCAGAAGCTATTTTAAACAAATTTAACCTTACTGGCAAAGCCAGGATCACTGTGAACTATAGTACCTTACTATGCTGAGATACAGCAATGCCATTAGGACCATCTGAGCTATCTGTAAATGCATAAACACTGCCTTGAGTTTTCATCTACTTATATATGTTAGTTTTGTGGGATTTCCTTATAGAGTGATCACTTCTCAGTGATATCAGTGTTCTTCACTAGAGCACCCTGTATATCAATTTCCAAATGAGGTTTTTAATCCATTGTATTAAAAGTTGTTTTAGCTCTTGTGAAATTTTCCTGTGAGGCAACTGCATATGCTTTAGTTTACAGACATTATTTTTTTGAAAAGTTTTTGCTATAGGGTGTGTATGCTTGCCAGAAAGAGAGAGACAGAGACAGAAAGCAAGAAATCACCCCCCAGGGAGGATGGCCACACCGCAGTCCCTTCTCCTCAATTCTACTCTCGGGATCTTGGCACGCACGCACACGTGCACCATGTGAGTTTAAGCCACCGGGTCTGGGACTGGAACCACAATCAACTACATGGGTGTCCAGCAACACAGCCGTTATGCCAACTGCTGGTCCCCAGATGTTATATATTTGTCTCAGTGTTTTAGAAGTCATTTATGTTCACGCCCTGATTCTTCATTTTCTTATGAATAAGAGAGAACATATTCATACATAAATTTGGCAAGGCATTGACAAATAATAAAGAACGGGGAAACTTAATTTTCCCAGAAAAAGTATCTTTAGCCAAATCTGGTATTTTTATAGCTCATGATTCATGGTTAAAAGTTCTAGTAAATTGAGCCAACAGGTGGTATTATGCTAAAGGCCTGGACTCCCATATGGCCAACCACCCTTTAAGTCCTAGACCTGATGGCTTGCTTTCTCCCTTTCTCTTTCTGTCTCTCTCTGGTCAAATTAAAAAGTAATGATAATAAATGAAATTAAATAATTCTTAAAAAGAGTTCTAGTAAATCATTACTTTAATTACATTTTCCAGGAACTTTTTGAAGTATCCTTATATATTCTTAAAATTAATTTCACATACTTAGGTTTGCTTTTTGCCAGTGTGGCTACCAAAATGTCATAATAAATACACATATTTATTATAAGTGAATAAGTATAAATTCACTAAATATCCTGTTCTTAGAATTTTATATAACTTTTTTTGGCAAAACAATTAAACCTTACATATCTTAGTTTTTTGCTCATCAAATCAGGATTTATTTAAGCTAATAATAAAATTAATTTATTTGGAATCAAGTGGGATATACCCGGGCATACAGCGCTTTTTCACTAATTTACCCAGCACATGTGTACTTCGTCCCTGAATGCCTTTGTAGAAAACTAATCTATAAAACACACATGGTAGTGATGACATCACCAGACAGAGATGACAACTGCAAAAAGTATGTGAGTGCAAAAGAAATACAAGTAAATGAATGCTTACAAATCTTGGGAGAGGTTTAGGATTTCGTGGCTCTATTTCGAGGGATTTGTTGAAAAGGTAATCTGTAAATTCTTTTTCCATGCTATTTCCCATTGGATTCAAGTTTTCGAAGAACCTCTGAATGAAGTGCAAAGAAATAATTGTTAGTATTTAATATTTGAAATTCAGTTGGATATTCAGGAAATAACTTAAGAAAACATTAAACAAGAGAAAATTTCAACTTTTATTTTCCTTTTCTCTTCTAGAAAATAAACCTGCCTTTTATCAGATAGTTTATAAATTTAATCAGAAATTTCAAATCATTCAACTTACTTTGATATCTGATTCTACTCGTAAACAGTAAGGCTGGTTTTGGTACTGCTGGATCTCTCCAGTTATTTCTGCCACTTTCCTCCTCTTGCTGAAGTTTATAAGCTCTTTTCCATGTCTTTTTAGGACCTCAGGGTTGCCTTCTTCTGTTTTCAAAATATTAGTGAGATAAATTCCTAAAAGATACAACGAAATTATGAAAGGATAAGGAATGGAAAATAGGTTGTTTCTTATTAACCTGGGCTTATTACATTGTGCCGTTGCAATCACCATACCTCAGGAGTCAAGGCTCAGATTTCCATGCTATGAGAAACAAGCTAAGTAAATAGCAAGAGAAAAATTTTTCTAAGTATTAAATATTTCTACAAAAGACTTGTCCTGCAAAAAGTCTTAAATTTTACAAATATCCAAGAAAAAAGGAGACTGAGTTTCATAAAACTAGTATACTTTTCAGGAAGGATAACCAATTTCCCATACCCCTAAAACTATTATGTTTACTTTGATATAAGTCACAGTTTTGTTAAAGGAAGTTTAACTGTCACTAATGACACATATTTCTGGCAAAAGGAGAAAATAGTAAATTCAGAGGATCATGTTTTCTGCTGACTCAGATCTTAAGACCTCATAAGAGGCTGTTAAGATATACAGCTTGGGGACCAGCAGATAGCATAATGGTTACATCGCTAGACGACTTCCATGTAGTCAACCGTGGTTTGAGTCCCAGACTCGGCGGCTTATAGCATGCCAGGCATGTGTGCCCATCTCCCCTGGGGGGTGATTTCTCATTTTCTGTTTCTCTGTCTCTGTCTCTCTCCAGCGAGTGCATGTGCCCTGTAGCAAAAATCTCTTTATAAAAAAGAAATAAAGACATACAATTCAGAGGTAGTACTGTATGGATAGGCAAAAGTGGAAAGATTTGCAAACCTATAAACATAGGACTGTGTATAATTTATTATTCGTTTTGGTCTTCAGCAATTTAAGGTAGTGACAAGCTGTTGATTGAGCTCCTGCTTCCCCATCACTGCATGAGGAGAGCAAGCCAAATCACTGCAGTCTCTGTGTAGGGCCGTACGACAGTTAAGTACTAATTAGCTGTGGTTGTGCTTGTTGATGCTGTTGCTGCATCTTGCCCTATTTGCTATGCTTCTTCCTCTTCCCCTAATGCACTGACTGTGATGCTCTGTGGGGGAAACAAGAGGGTGCGAATATCTGAGTTTGTTCACGCCATACACAAGTAGAGTCTCTGCTGAATTCCAAGTACTGCATTAGGTACTTCTGACACAAAGATGGAAAAGACACAGCCTCTGACCTCAAGGAGTCCAGAGCTCTGAATGTGGGCCACTACAGTACAATTTTGGTAAGTGCCATATTATGAGGTGCTACATTAGTAACAATGAACTAAGATGTTGTGAGATCTCAACGGAGTATACCTACTTCTGCTTTCAGCTAGTGGGATTAGAAAAAACATCACAGATGAGGGGATGGTTAGAAAGGCACTCCAACCAAAGCAGCAGTGGGTGTGTAGGAAGGCACTGATCTGTGATGAAACCTGCAAGGCATACTTAGAGATAGCATGTTGTTTGGTATTGATAGACCATAGGGATTTGGGGTGTGAGTGAGGTGAAAGATGAGTGGCAGGATACAAGGCCAAGGCTACACTAGTGGTTCTAAATGTTTTGGTGGTACAGGGATACTGTTAAACACTAGAATTTTTAGCCAGATCCCTGAAAAGATGAAATGACTCAAATGAATACTAAACAAGTCAGCAGTCATGAAATATGACTACATCAATGCCTGCTTGGTATTAAAAAACATCCAGTTACTAAGTGAGCTAACTACTTAGCTATTTCTCAGCACCTAGGCCACTCTTATTTTTTTTAAGAATTATTTTATTTAACTTTATTTATTTTATATATTTACTTGTTTATTTTAATTTGACCAGAGGGGGACAGAGTGAAAGAGGGAAAGTGAGAAATCAAGTTGCCAGGTCTGGACTTGAACTGCACTCAGCCATATGGGAATCCAGCACCCCTAAACATCATGCTACCTGCCGGCCCCTAAAATTTTTTAAGTTTTACTATAGTGCATGTGTGCTTGCCAGAGAGACAATACAGAGAGAGAGATCAAGAGAGAGTGAGAGGGATCAGCAGTTGGTGTAATGGCTATGTCGCTGGACTCCCATATAGTTGACTGTGGTTTGAGTCTTGAACCCCGCGACTTAAACTCAAGCCGAGCACGTGTGTGTGCGTGCCCAAGATCCCAAGAGAAGAGTGGAGGAGAAGGGATTATGGCGTGGCCATCCCCTGAGGGGTAATTTCTCGCTGTCCGTCTGTCTCTGTCTTTCTGGTGAGCGCACGTGCCCTATAGCAAAAATCTCCAAAGAAAAAAAGAAGAAAAAAGAGAGTGAGAAAGAACCCCCAAGAGAGGAGGGCCATACCACAATTCCTTCTCCTCTGTCTTCCTCTTGGTAACTTGGCATGCATGCACACACACCCCTGGCGTGTTATTCCAGCTGCAGGGTCCAGGATTCACACTGCATAGTTGGCCATGTGGGATCTAGCTATCTTAACTACCACACCAAGGGCTGGTTCCAGCACAGGCTCTTTGATTTTCTGCATATGCCTGTCATCTGACTCTTCCTTTCAACTAGTTATACTGACTGTCCTTTACCCAAGCTGGGTACACTTAGCTCAGTGTTTAGTCTGACAAACATGTCTAGAAGAGAGTGCATATTCAACAGCAGTCAAAATCAACTCTCCTTTATTGCTTATAAATTGATGGCCTACCTGTCAAGAGGTTGTATGCTGCACCACCTGGACTGGGTCATGAAGTATCTTTTGTTTTGGGGGCCAGCAGGTGGCATAGTGATTAAGGTGCTAGACTCCCATATGGCAATCGTGGTTCAAGACCTGGACCTGGTGGGTTGAAAACCACACTATGCATGTGTGAGCACATGCCCAAAATCCCAGGAGGAAAATGGAGAGGAAGGGACTGTGGTATGGACATACCCCCTAGAGGGTGATTCTCACTGTCCCTCTTTGTCTCTCTCTGATGAGTGCATGTGCCCTACAGCAAAGACGTAAGAACAGCTTTACTTCATCCAGGATAAGGAGGGGATGACAAGTATCTAGATGCACTGTGAAGCCAGATGCATTGGACAGAGTTCCCAGAGAAGGGAAAACAGCAGTTCTGTGAGATGATGAGAGCTGCCCAAGATGTGTGGGAATAGAGTGGAGAGGATAAATATTTAAGAGGCAGACTCTCCAAGAACTGATTAGCTGGTTTGGGCAGGGGGTGAAGAGGGTGGGAAGGCAGACTTTCAGCTCTGTGCTTGGGTGACTGAGAGGGCAGTGGCACAGTGACTGACACTGGGAACACAGGGAATGGTAAGTATATGGGTTGTCCTAGATGTTCAAGTATACTTGGATTAAGTAAAAATGCTTACAGGTAACATTTTGGGATAATAAAATTTGGAAATTACTTTATGCCTAACTGATGGCTAGTTGAAAGAACCAATGATCACATCAGTGGTGTCCAAACTTGATTGGTCATACACTGTATCAGTAAAACATGCTTAAGCACATATTCTCTCTGTAAAAATATATAAGATTTTTGAATGAAAAATGTAGTGTGTGTGTATATATATATATAACACAGACCTGAATAGTATATACTAGTAAGCTTAATATTTTTTCTTTTCTTTCTTTTTATTTTTAAAAGACAGGGTCTTGCTGTTGAGGTCCTCCTGCCTCAGCCCTCCAGCTGGGACTACAGGTACACACCACCATGCCTGATTCATGTTTAGAAAAGGTCTCATGTTGCTCAGGCCAGCCTCAAGCCCATAATCCTCTTGCCTCAGTCTCCTGAACTGCTAGCACAGGCCACCATGCCTGGCTTTTAGATTGGACTAGGAATCCAACCTCCCATGTGGCCCCACCCTCAAAAGTACAGTATCTTAGTAGCACACACTACTGCAGCTGAGCCAGTTTTTTCAAAACTATAAATAGAAGTTATTCCTGAACTGCAATTGGTCATTGTACATACTCACCTATAGGGAAAGCTATCCCAGGGAGAAGGGATGCAGAACATCATGATATAAATAAGAAGAGTGAGGTTTCACCTTTTTACTGATATTTTCCCAACCTTTCCAGGAAAAAGTGTCTGCTCAAGGTTCAAGGTTTCTGTAGTAGTCTATCCACACTTGATTTACACATCTACAATACAGTGTTATACTCACTACATTGTACAGTAATCGACTTTTCTACTCTTTCAAGGGAGCAGGTAGTATGGGACTCTGTCTTATCTATCCTCAGCAACCTAGGTCTTGGCCTGGCAATGGAAGTATGCAACAAATGTTTCTAAATGAATGAAAGAAACATATTAATTCAGAATAGAAGAGAGAGCATTTGGAGAAGAGACTAAAACACGAGAAACATAGTTCTAATATAGCAAGAAAACATGAATAGAGATGAAGCAAGATTATAAAAAACAGGATATAAGATCAGAGCTATTCAAGGGGACCTCAAATCATTTGTGGAAAAACAGAACTAATGTGTAAGTTTATCTGGTATTAAAAAAATACTGAAATCTTTGCAATTTCTTTCAAAATATGTTTTTCATGAACTTTTTTTTTTTTTTTTAAAGAGAGATTTATGCCATAGGGTGCATGTGCTCACTGGAGAGAGACAGAAAGTGAGAAATCATCCCCCCAGAGAGGATGGCCATACCACAATCCCTTCTCTTCCATATCATGATGCAAGCATGCCCACACACCCAGTGTGAGTTTTAAGCTGCGAGGTCTGGGACTTGAACCGTGTTCTACTATGTGGGAGTCTAGCAACATAACCATTATACCATCTGCTGGTCCCTCATGAACTTTTTGAAGGCCCCTCATATAAAATGAAAGAAGAAAACCAATGCTACAGGCTTGGATGTTTGCATGCAGATGAGAAACTTGGTTTAGGTACACCTTTTTACCTTGGAGGAAGAGTTCAGTTGCTCACATAGTCATTCTACCTATGAACAGAATATTAATAGTGTATGAAGAAAATAGGATGCAGACCAGAAGTCAGCATAGCTTTGGTAGGAGAAAATGCCCTAGTAAATGGTGAAGCACTAGCAAAACACGTAAGAACTTTCTAAGATGATAGAGGTGAGCCAGCTGGCAGTGTGGTAGTTGGGGCAGATGTCATACTGTGAAGTTCAAGTCCCAGACCTGGCAGCTTGGGAAATAAACTGGGCACATATGTGTGCATGCCTAAAATCACAAGTGGAAAAGGAAGAAGAGACTGTGGACTGGTTATCCCATCTGGGAAGTGCCTTCTTCCTTCTACCCGCCTCCCTGTGAGCAGGCACGCCTACATATATAAAATATATAATTTCTGTATAAAGATATATAACATATAATATAGTTTATATATATATGTATATATTTGTGTATATATAATATTAATATTATATATATGTGTGTGTGTGTATGTATGTGTGTGTGTGTGTGTGTGTATATATATATTTGATGGTAGAGAAGGTAAAAATGTCCGCTATTACTTTTGACCCTCCCCTGAAAGGGGGACAAACACCCAGAATTCAGGAGAAGAATCTGGAAGGTATTTCTATATACTAGCATAGTGATAAGATGGAATGCAGAAGCAGCATTAACAGCTGGCTCTACCTACTGGATCAGAAAAATAAAAGGCCACCTGGCTAACTCTAGAGACTGATACCCTTTAGCTAGAGAATAGTAGAGACCTAAGAGCAGCAGAACCAACAGGGATGGTTTTAAATAAATCACCTTAAAAGAGCAGAGCCTTGGTAATGAGGAAGATGAATAGAAAGGGCAAGAAAGATTGCAGGTGGGCTATATATCTGTCAGCTACTACATATTTGTGTTCACTCACTAAATCACACAACTTACTTTAAAACACCTTAATGGGAGACCGGCAGGTGGCATGGTGGTGGTTAAGGGTGCTGGACTCCCACTTGGCCGGCCATGGTTTGAGTCCTGACCTGGTGGCTTGCTGTCTCACTTTCTCTCTTTCTCTCTCTCACTCTGTCCCTCTCTGGTCAAATTAAAATAAATAAATAAAGTTAAATAATTATTTTTTTTAAAAAAAATCTTAATGGAATCATATTCTCAAGATTTGAACCCATCCTTTTTTTAAACTTAATGGCATGCTATGAAGATCAGTTACGTTAGTTTCTAAAGATCTGAGAGAGAGGGAACGAGCAGTTAGCACAATGGCTATGTTGCTGGACTCCCACGTAGTCGACCGCGGTTCGCGTCCCAGACCTGGTGGCTTGAAACTCACGCCGGGCGCATGGGCGTGCGTGCCCAAGATCCCGAGAAGAGAATGGAGGAGAAGGGATTGCAGCGTGACCATCCCCCCTGGGGGGTGATTTCTCGCTTTCTGTCTCTATGTCTCTCTCTGTCTGTCTGGCGAGCGCACGCGCCCTATAGTGAAAAAAAAAAAAAAAAAAAAAACGCTCCAAAAAAATAAAAAAAGATCTGAGAGAGAGTACTTTAGAAAGTTAAATTTGTATGGATAAATACCAACAGGCTAATGGAGTAGCAGGATCAAATAGTGAGTCCAGTGAATGGACACTGACGGAGGTTTCTTTCTGTCTCTGTGTACCAGACAGCATAGGATATCATGAGTGACAGGTCTATGAGTTCAGTGAGCAAAATGAATATGTATTTTTCATTTTTCTAAGCACCAGACACAGTTGTTCGTATTTAGTAGGAACTCTAGTAATATCTGTCAACTGACAATAAAATGAACATCAGACCTACTCTGATCCTTCCCAGTTCCCTTACATGAATGGGTATCATAATAACTGTATTTAAGAGTAAATGCAGAGGTTTTAGTATTTTACTAGAAAGAGAAAATAAATTAACTAATATTTTTATCAAGAATTTAGTTGGGGAAAAAAATCTTCCTGAAAATAGAAATTAACAATATTAAAAAGTAATACATGACATAAAATAATAAAATTTTAAGATTTTAAAAAATGTTAGTGTATGTACATACACCTGAGGAAAAGGAAGACAGAGAGAGAGAAGAACCCTTGCCTGGGCCTTGCTGCACTGTGATAACCCCTTCCTCAGCCCTCCAGCTCCTTAGGATCCTGGGTGTCTATGCACCAGATGTTTACAGACTGACAGGCTAAACACACAGTCAGCCTGCAGGACCCTGTGTTATTGCTGTGCCACAGTTCTGGGCCCAGAACTTATCTTTATTTATTTATTTTTTAATTTTTAAAGTTTTAAAAAAGTGTTTGCTAGAGGTCATGTGCATTCACCAGAGAGAGGACTGAGAGGGAGAGAGGATCCCCAATAAGCATGGTCATGCTGCAGTCCCGTCTCCTCCATTTCTCCATCCTGTTGGAATTTTGGATGGGAATGCACACACCCAGCATACTGTTCAAGTTGCTCGGAGTGGGGATTTGAATCACAAAGTCAGCCATGTGGGATCTCACTCACTTAACCAATGGGCCTTGGGACTGGACCAAGAACTTACTTTTTTGAAGAAAAAGGAAAATTAAAGTAAAACAATTAAAATTAGAATGGGAAAGGCTACAAATTGGAGCAAGTTTTAAAAAAATTATAGATATAATTGAATGCTAGAATTTTTAAAATAATGAAATTAAGCAATTCTGTATCAAGAAAGACATTTTAGGGACCAGCAGTTAGCATAATGGCTATGTCGCTGGACTCCCACGTAGTCGACCGCGGTTCGTGTCCCAGACTCGGTGGCTTGAAACTCACGCTGGGCGCGTGTGCATGCGTGCCCAAGATCCCGAGAGGAGAATGGAGGAGAAGGAATTGCGGCATGGCCATCCTCCCTGGGGGGTGATTTCTCGCTTTCTGTCTGTCTGTCTCTGTCTGGCGAGCGCACGTGCCCTATAACCAAAAAAAAAAAAAAAGACATTTTAATATATTAAAAAAAAAAAAAAAGGCCCTGTAGCACAGAACTTAGGCACTACACAAAGGAAGTTGGATCCTACATGGCCTACTGGGGTTTGAGTCATGGCTCCATTGGAATGGTAGTTAAGGCAGCTGAATCCCACATGATCAACTGCACAGTTTAAGTCCTGGACCTAGTGGCTTGAGAAACATGCTAGTGGGGGGGTGTGTGGGAGTGCGCGCCCAAAATCCTGATGGGAGAGAGAGATGGAGAAGGAGGGATTGCAGTGTGGCCATTCGTAGGGGTGCTTTCTCATTTTCTTTCTCTCTGTTGCTGTTTCTCTCTCTCTCTCTGGTGAGTGCATGCACTCTGGCAAAATAGAGGGAACAATAAAAAAAAAAAAAAAGGAGGTCTCATATAAATAGGGAAAAAGAAAAAGCTATTCAATAAACTTGGGTCAACCAAGAATTTGGTGGAGAAACAGAGTTTTTCATATGATATCTAAAAGAGACTTCAGTTTGAGAAAAGAGTTAAATATTGTTTTGAAGGTCAAATAATAAAGCTACAAGAAAATATGACTGAATATTACTAGATGAAACAATTTCTAAGGTTAAAAATGTTAGAAATCATAATGGGAAAGACAGATTATAAAATTTAAAACTAATATATGTTAACAAATCACAGCTAAAAGACAGATGGCTAAAATATTGAAGCAGATATAAGAAAGGACATGGACAAGAGAGAATGCAGATGTTGAGCAAATGGCTAACAAAATGTCTGCAGTGATCAGACTGTAAATGATTACACAAATGGGTAGTTTGTATCTGTGAAAATAAGCACAAAGGGGGTGGAGTACCCAAATTAGAAATAATGGGGTGAGGGAACAGCAGATGGCCCAAAGGTTATGTTGCTGGACTCCCACATAGTTGACCATGGTTCAAGTCCCCAACCCAGAGGCTTATAACTCACGCCAGGTGTGTGTGTATGTGTGCCCAAGATCCTGAGAGGAAAATGGAGGAGAAGTGACTGTGGTGTGGCCATCCTCCCTGGAGGGTGATTTCTCACTTTGTCTCTCTGGTGCATGCACAGGCCCTATAGCAAAAATCATGTGTGGACCCAAAGGCACATACAGTATGATTTATAGCGACGTGAAACTATTTACAAAAAAAATCATTGTAAATATGGATGAGTTTAGCCATGTCTCCTCTACAGAATATTTGGTTTATCAAAATTCAATTTAAAAGGTTACTATGAATATAAAAACACAAGTATTAAATAATATCTACTGGCTGCCCAAGGTGAAAAAAGAAAGTAAAATATCTATGTGAGGCTTGATTCTAAGAAGTCCTAATAAAATTCTGAGAATTCAAGTGCTAAATATTTGTTAAATAAGTATTTGCTGCTGGTATTTATGTATATCTTTACTCATTAATGAAACAGTGTCTTATTTTGAATCCAAAAACACAATGAAGATTCTAGAAGAAATACTTACCAAAGAAAGGCACACATGGTGGATTAATAGACCTGAGTTTTGCCAAGTATTTCTTATAATGATCTTCACTCAATTCATGAGCTTCTTCTAAAATTTTCTTTTGGCGACTTGGTATTTGCTACAAGAAAAAAAACATTTAAGAGAGAAAAGTTCACAAAATGAATCATAGGTCTTCCTGAAAAATACCAGGATAATAGTAAGATCCAACAATGACAGTAACAGTTTAAGAATGCTATCACTATTTCAAAGAAACTACCTTCACAGACCCAGTACAGACTTAGTGAGTGTGTGTGACATTTAGTTTATCTAGTCATTCCTCACAGTTATAATTAAACATTTATAATCATACATTATATTACAAATTTAAATGCTGAAAATTTTTGCATTTTATCAGGCTGGGATCTGTAAATGTATTTTAATCAGAGTGACTAATTTTATTTTCTAAAAAAAAAGATTTTAAAGGTTTCTGTCTTTGGGCACATGAGCTCACCAGAGAGAAAGAGAGAGAGGGAGGGGGAAAAGAGACAGAGAGTGAGAGGGAAAGTGAGAAATCACCCCCTGGGGAGATCATTATGCTGCAATCACTTCTCCATTCTTCTCCTTGGGCATGCACATACATATGCTTAGCATGATTTTCAAGCTGCCAGGTTCAGGACTTGAACCACAGTCACCCAGGTGGGAATCCCAGGGCCTTAACCACTGCATCACCTGCTGGCCATGAGAGTGCCTAATGTTAAATGTTCAACTAATTCATTATAAAATTTAGATAATTCCATCTTTAATCTGCTATTGAAAAAACAAGACATTTAAAAATTAAAAATTGGGAACCAGCAGTTAGCATAATGGCTATGTCGCTGGACTCCCACGTAGTTGACCGCGGTTCGCGTCCCAGACCCGGTGGCTTAAAACTCACGCCGGGCATGTGTGCATGTGTGCCCAAGATCCCGAGAGGAGAACGGAGGAGAAGGGATTGCGGCATGACCATCCCCTCTGGGGGATGATTTCTCGCTTTCTGTCTCTATATTTCTCTATATTTCTGTCTGTCTGGTGAGCGCATGCAAAAACTTCTCCAAATAAATAAATAAAAATTAAAAATCATGCTTCTTAAAATTTTTATTTTTATAATAGAAAATGCAAGTTCATTTAAAAAATGTCCAGGGACCAGCAGGTGGCATGGTGGTTAAGGTGCTGGACTCCCACATGGTTGATCGCAGTTTGAGTCCCAGACCTGGCAGCTTGCTTTCCCATTTTCCCTCTCTCTCTGGCGAGCACACGTGCCCTATAGTAAAATTAAAATAAATAAAATTAAGTAAGTAATTCTTTAAATAAACAACAACAACACATGTCCAAACCTACCTCAAATGTATGGTCTAATCTGTAAACAGGTGATGAGTTCATAGCACTGACAACCTCAAGAACACCATTGAAGTTATTCAACTCCTGAAAGACTTGGAGAATCTCAATTATTCGACTCACCACAGCTACTCTTTCTTCTAAATTTTCAGTTTCTACAATACATCTAAAATTGAAAACAAAAAGGAATGAAAAGTTTTAGAGTTTTTTCCAGTAAAGTTATGGTTTGAAGAATTTAGTAAATAAAATAATATAGAGTATGTATGGGAGGGTAGCCATAGTGTAACTTCAGAGGGGAGAGAGAGATAGGAGGAGACTAGAGTAAAAGACAGTCTCTCCAGTCAAGTCAGAAATACTTCTCTTTACTGTTTTCGGGGCTGGTAGGATCATTCAGTTATGACTCTGCTCTATCTGATGCACCCTCTATCAGCATTAGACTAAATGATGAAGCTAATACCTTGGTGAGTGTAGGTCTTTAGTATGTAGCTGTGTTCTAGGGGAATTTATTCAAGATTTCAAGAATTCTATTGTCTCCTATTCATCCAATTGCAAGATTTTACTGATTAATATATCATTAATTAGATGTAATATGTATTACAACAATACCACACTGAATGGAGAAAGGGAATAGAGCTACCTAAGAGGAACATTTCTTATCTTCACTGGAATTAAGCTACTGTAAGTCTGAAACTGACTCTGATGAGCTAAGATGTATATAGTAAACCCTAAAGAAACCACTAAGAAAAACTCAAAAACTAAAATGAAGAAAATCATTAGTGAAATTAAACGCTGCACTAGAAAAACATTCACTTGGCCAGCCATGGTGGTGCAGTGGTGACCAGATGTCTACCATGTTAAAGACATATGGGAAGGTCCCAGGTTCATATCCCAAGTTCTTCTCAGGCCCACCCATGATCCTGGCTGGATTGAGGCAGAGGGTGGAATTGTGGCCTAAGGGACAAGATGGGGGTGACTTTATCACTGTTTCTCTATTTCATGGAAGAAATACATTTTGGGAGGAAATAAGCAAATATTTACTTACTGCAAAAAAAAAAAAAAAGAAGGAATGGAGAAACAAAGGTGTGAGATATATAGAAATAAAACTGTCCTGAAATTAATTAATACAGTTGACTTATAAAATGTAAGAATGTCAGGAATACTTACTTCTCAAACCACAGAGTGAGATTAGTGGTGTGTCGGATCATTTTCAAAAGATTAGGAGAATTAATTTCTTTGTCTTCTTTTGTCCACACACTTCCAACTAATTCTGATGGCTGGACAGCTCTAAAAATGATCAATACATAATACTACATGATACTTTTCTAATATAGACACTATTTTATTAAGCTGATAGGATAAATAAAAACTAAATTCCCATATAAGCTTTATTTTTATACCAACATAAATCTGGTTTATGAAAACAAGGCATAACAAAAAATTGTAATTAGGCATCTTTTAGATTTGAAAAGATACATCTTTATGGATGTACCGGTGTACTTTTATTACAGCTTTATAGTAGCATTTTGCTTTGGACAAGGTTGAAATTTCTCTGTAATATCTTTCGCAACCCCTATAAATATTACTTGATAGATAAGGATGATGAATCACTCATTTAAATAAAATATCTGTTATAATCATCAGTCCGAAGTGGGTATGGTAATCACAATTCATATTCTCTCTTTTTGGTCTAAAGGAAGGGAGAGAAAACAAAACAAAACAAAAACCTACCTTAAAGGGCCTGGGAAAGAAATAAAACAGATTCTAACACTAATTTTTGGGAATACGGTGATCTTTGGTGGCAGGAAATCTATACATTTAGCTCTTTTTCTCATTTAGTCTGAGACTTAGTCTGAGATTCTGAACAGTCCCTATCTACAACAGAAACACATTTTCTGAGGATCTTAGTTATATCACTGTAGAATGATACACTAAGAAGGCTACAACTAGTGGTGATTTCAGTTCACAGTAGCAACAGTAGCTAAGGATTAACAAGCCCTAACTTTGAGCTGGGCAATGTGTGAAGCACTGTACACTGTACTGGTATTTTAAGCCTTACAACAGTCCCAGAAGTAGGTTCTGTCATCAGGCCCATTTTACTGTTGAGGAAACTAAGAGGCAGAAGGATAAAAGTTACACAAGGAAGTAAAAATTGCCCCAGAACACCACACCAGCAATGGTAACGCCAGAATTTGAACCTAGCTTCTCTTAACAAGCGGTCATGACGGTAGAAAGGGAGGTGTAAATTCAGACAGAGCAAGGGGGACCAGGGGACCGATTGACCAGAAACTACCTGCCAGACCATATTAGTAGACATTTCAAATATTCTCTCATTGATGTTTTATGACAGCCTTATTAGGCAGCAAACAGAATTTCATCTTAAAAATGCTTTTGTAATGACTTTTCAGTTTGAATGTTAAATTACATACCGGTATAGATCTGATTCAAGTAAAGTGAGTTGTCGAGCAATTTCTATTGGGTGTAAAGTGAGCAGGTCAAAAGTCTCTACATGGCCAGGCCTGCTTATATGCCATTCAACTGTTGGAGGAGAGCTCTGAAATGTGATATTGTGTCCTGGTCCATTGTCTCTTGCAATTTTTTTCCTTTGGATTATCTTAGTAATGGATTCAACCCATTTTTTCATTGCTTTACCTGAAAAACATACTATTATAAGTAACATTTACATACTCTTTATTTAACAGCTTGTTTTTAAGTTTAAAATTACACAAATGATTATCTGAATGTTTCTTTGCTACCCAAAGTTCAAGTGATCAAAATGAAACAAACAAGTTCCCCTTTACCACTTCCTAGTCCCTTTCCTAAACTCATTCTCTTCATTGGTACATTTGGTATGTATTCTTCCAGGTCCTTTCTAAATAAAATTAGAAAGCAACTTACTTGTAGAGACTTTTACCCCTACTATTCTAAACTTCAGTTCAAATACTGTTTTATAATCTTCCACAAAAAGATATATCCTAAACAAGTCACAAGATTTGTAAGGACAGATTATACACATTCATTATTAAACTAATTAGCACTGCATTTTACAAACTAAACCATGCCAAAGGACTGATTTCATTTTGGTGTGAATTTGGATGTGGCTTTATTTTGTACTGTATATGGAATTACTATAATTTAACCCTTTATTTTCCAATTCTCATTCAGAATGCACAGTGGAGATAAGAAATTTGTGTAGGACATCCATAGATGTCCATACAATCATATGACCTTTAAAAGGGAAACCTTAGCGGTCATCAAACCTAGCTCCTCATTTTACTGATAAACTGAGTCTAAAGAATTGTAGTGGTTTTGCTTAAAGTCACATATCTGACCAGTGACAATGTGAGAAGTAAATGCTCAGCTGAATATGCTGTGTTGAGACTCTGCTGCCTCTCTCCACCTAACTGTGGCCTCCTGCCCTCCGCACTTCCTAAAGGCTCTCTCAGGTAAACATAATTTCAGATAGGTGTAAAGATTCAGCTTAAATTGAGACTTTTTCTAGCCAATTCTAAAACAGTCAGGTTGATCCGTTAAATAAAAATTCATTGGGTGAACAGGGTGATTACTGAGTGGTGTGAGATCTAAATGTTTGATGAAAATTCAAAACTTTTTTTCGCCTGATTATGCTGGCATCCTCACAAATATTTAACAATACTGAGTGACAATGACATCATTTGAGAGTCACCATATTGGTACTTTTATTACATATAAAACTTGGCATTAAAAATAATACCTCTTACTGTTCCAATAAATTCCTCCATTCGTTGCAAAAGGTCTGCATCTCTTTCAAAATCATAGAAGTGGTGCTCTACCCAGTGCCGACAGACATTTAATACCCTATGGCATTAACACAGGATTGAGTTAGGAGGGAACTCAAACATAAAGTGTATCACAATGAATGGTACAAAGGAAACAGTAACTTGCCAAATTAAAGGACCTTACCAGAGGCTTAACACCTTCAAAACTATGTCAATTAAGACTTACAAAATAATCTCAGATAATTCTTATTACAGTCACCTTATTGCTTGTTACTTCCTTGCTTGGGAAAAAGCTTCACATACCTCAGCTTTAAAACGGAAGTTCAGTGAAGATGCATTTACTTCAGTTATTTATTTCATGCTTACCGCAGTTGTACAGGCTGTATATATTCTTTCCTAAACCTTTTTAGTTCCGCACTCAAGGGCTGATCTCCATTTTCTATAGCTATGCGATCAGCTTCTGTTGGCTCAGGCTCTGGAATTTCAAACCTAACGTAACACAGAACAAATCAATGAAAATAATAATGTATCAAATTAGACAAAAAACCCCACAAACCTTTCACTTGTCAGCAGAATCAAGAGAATATAGTAAATAATTACTAAGAATATACATATCAGTGAAAGCAAGTAAGGCTTCTATGATGTAAATATTATTATTTTGAGTATTATTTATTTTTGGGGGGAGAGGTTTTTTTTTTTTTTTTTGCTACAGGGCACGTGCATTCGCCAGACAGACAGAGAGAGACAGAAAGCGAGAAATCACCCCCCAGAGAGGATGGCCACGCCGCAATCCCTTCTCCTCCCAGGATCTTGGGCACGCACGCATGCACACACACCCGGCGTGAGTTTTAAGCCACCGAGTCCAGGACGCGAACTGCGGTTGACTACGTGGGAGTCCAGCAACAGCCATTACGCTAACTGCTGGTCCCTTGAGTGTTATTTTTTAAAAGAAATTTGTATTTGCCAATACAGATACAATTAACTAAAAATATAATCAAGAAAACATGTCAAATCTAAAACAGCATGGGACTGGTAATTTTTACTTTATAGAATTAACTCTAAATCAGCTGATACAGTAATTTTTAAGGGTAATGCTTGCGATTGTTCTTTGGGTGGGTGAAACATTTTTCTTGATTACAGTATTTGTTCACTGACAAGCTCCATTTCACTTAACATGTGATATATTTGATAACTTCTGTTTTGAACACTTAAACCATCAAAATTAGAATTTATAGAATTAAATGATAAATTTCTATACTGATCCTTAATTCTATAAAATCTGAATTTCAAATATTTAGTTTTCATGTAAAATAACCCCTATCTTTGTACTTAATAACCAAAGCTAACATTTTTGTAAATAAATGGTTATGCAAGAGATTTTACTTATTAAAACAGTGCTTGTGAACTACAATTTAAAGTTCATCCAATATATTCCTGAGAAAATGTAAGATCTTAATTCTTTAAAAAAAAAAATAAAAAGAATTTAAAAATCGACAGACCTTTCTATTATAAGACTCAGTAGTTCTTGAGGTTTGCAAAAGGACCTGTATGTTGTAAGAAATGTCCGAACAAAATTAGGATCTAAGAAGAAAAAGGGAAAATATATTAAAATCTTTGCTTCAGAATGATTAAAACTATTACTTACATTTTCAAAAAGAGATCAAACGTCAATTTTAAAAGTCCCATGATATTCTGACACATAAGATGCTCTGTACGCCGTAATGTACTGTAGCTTTAGTGCTTCCAATGTTAGTGGCAAAAACACTGACACTAAAAGTTTACCAGCTTATTCTTATTCTCTATACTGTGACCCACTGGTCTTAAACTCATCGCCACAGGAATGTGCACAGAAGAAAGGTAAAGGCACAGCATGCAATCAGGCCCCACCCGCTACCAAGGTTTCTGAGCATCACCAGCTGGTTGTTCTCCCTGGCCGAGAAAGGGATGCAGCCGCAGTACCCCATTCATCACGTCCTGATATCTAGACTGCTTTATCTAGGATCAGTAATCTAGATCTCTTTAAATCATGTTAACAAAGGAGACACCTAGAAATGAATCTTGTAAGACAGATTAAGTTACAAGTTTCTACATAATATTTGCTAGAGATCTTAGAACTACTAAAAGATGCTTACAAATAATACCTATAAGCTATCCGGACTAGTAAATGTGCTAGAATATGATGGCTTGGTCCTTTCTCTGACTTTTAATTCCTTTTATTTCAAGTAGTCACAATGAGAGGTCAGCTGTAACAGACATCTCCAGCCCCTTCCCTGAAAGGACCTACTTTTCCTTCACAGCTCCATGAGGTACAACAAGAGGCTGAGTGTGCTCACTCACCCCACCCCTGCCCACTAAGACCAGGCCTGCTCCCACCTCTCCTGGACATTAGTCTAACAAAGCTGTAGATAAAGGCTGCTTTCTTCAGCATGAGAGATCAGGACTGTCATCTTCTGCTTAAAGAGGAGAGACATCACCTCCTAATGGGGGAGGGGGAAGCACTTACTATAATTTAAATTTCATCAAGGCCCACATCTAGTTGTAAGAGTCTTTACAAAGAAGGAGGGGAAGTGCATTAACCCTAATCTTGTTGGGAGCATTCTTTGCCTACTTAAATTATGGACTGGTAAACTCGAGGAGAGACATCACCTCCTAATGGGGGAGGGGAAGCACTTACTATAATTTAAATTTCATCAAGGCCCACATCTAGTTGTAAGAGTCTTTACAAAGAAGGAGGGGAAGTGCATTAACCCTAATCTTGTTGGGAGCATTCTTTGCCTACTTAAATTATGGACTGGTAAACTCTTAATTTCATAGAAAATTCAATGAGAGTAGCAAATGTCTTTTTGTGAGACCACACACTAGATCTAATGTTTATAAGACGTACAATGTTTTTTATTAGCATAGGATTTAGAAAATCAGAATATATTTGTTTAAAAAATTTCTATTTAGGTTGATTCTATCTCAATAAGAACCACCCTAAATGTAATCTTAAAATATTTATTATACAGTAATTTCCCCCTCAAACACAAATTCATAGATTTATCACAATCTGTTTCTAATCTGTTGGTACATGAGGTCATCAGGATAATGAACTGATTTTAAAACTCAGACAACCTAGAATTTAAGATTATAATACTCTTTTGAAGAAAACTTTACAGAATAAAAATACACTAGGGGCCAGCCCAGTCATAAAGGGAACCAGATCCCACATGGCTGACTATAGTTCGATTTCCAGCCTTGATTGCTTGAAAAATATGCTGGGCCTGTGTGCCCCAAGGTTGGAAAGATGGAGAAACAGAGGAAGAAAAGATTGAGGTTTGACTACATCTTATTGGGGGGATGCTTTCTCTCTCTCAATTAAAAAAAAATATGCAGTGGCTTTAAATGCTTCCTATTCCTTTAGCTTTACACCTTCTCAGGCTAGAGTTGGTTACTGATAAAAATAACTTAAATACACTTTAGTAATTTCCTTTCTGTTGGTATTTTATTGTTTGTCTTCAGTTACAGAGATCCTCAAAAGTTAAAGACTAATGTCTCATCCAGAAGAAAAGATATTAAAACAGAAGGCTGTACAAGATTTTAAAACAGAGATTTTTATCGGTTTCATCACAATCCTCTCTTTCAAGACTCTTCTTCCTGTTCTGCAAATCTATTTGTAAGGTGAGGCTCCTCAAGCAGCATGTGTGTAGGAAGCAAAGCAGTGGCCACTACAGAGATGCTCACTACATAGTTGTCACTGTTAGAGACGGCCCACGCCCTCAGTATAGAGTGTTCCAAGCACCCCTGAGCTGGTTGAAATGTAGGTGCCCCCTCCTTTTAAAATAAAACTTTATTCAAGTATTTAAAAATCTAAAATCACATCCAGATCCATTTTCAATCACCACTTAAGTCAGGCTAAAAAGCTGTGGGATACCAAAGGTACTTTTAAGTTGAAAAGCAAAAATAAAAGCAAATTCTAAGTGAATTAATCTATGTTTTAAGAAAACTGTGGCTATTTTTTAATGGCAAACTATTTCAAAATGGACTTTTCATCTTCTTAAGCCAAAACTTCCAGCCATTTGGGTACTTTAGTAGCTGATGATAATGCCATGATGTGCCTCAGTGCCACACTGGTCAAAAGGGATCACGTCAGTTCCTGACGTCTGTTATCATTTTCTCAAGAACGCCCCATCATTTATTCCACATGATGCTGTCTGACGAGAAGCGCAAGTGAGAGACGTAGCTAAGGTTTACGCCAAGTCACAGAATGGTGTGACAGAAACAGAACCAGAACCTAGATCATGTGATCCCTGATCTGGTGCTCTTTTTCTACTGTATTTTGTAACCTCCCTGGATTAAAGGATCTCTGAAGGTTTCTCAGCTGTGAGATCTAAATATAAAGAATTAATCCATGAGTTATATAATCATCTTAGAAATTTACATAAATGATTAATTCAGAATGTAGTTATAACTGCTAATTTCAGTTCACAGCAGAAAGTCACTGAAAAATTAGCAGTCTAATTGTGATTCTGTAACTCTTGATAAGCCTTCTTTCAGATTTGAGGAAGTAGCAGCTGTACCCCTGTATTCAGAAGACTAGTTTCTGTAGCTGGCAGTGAAATATACACTTCCACAATCATCACTGTTATATTAGACTCTACAGTGACTTAAGTTTAAGTTGTTTTTAGTTTGACTAGAAGTAAGAGCAGTCTAGCCAAAAAAAAAAAAAAACCCAGAAAACAAAACAGCAGAAACTAAAAATAAACCAAGAAAGTTTGGCAAATTTTAAGTACTTTCAAAAACATCTTCAAGGCAGCATATATCCCCAGGCTTATAATAATTTATGTAACTCTGGAGTCTAACGTAGTGAAAAATTACTAAATGAAAAAAACACATTAAGAGAGGATATCTGTATTTGAAATTTTACACAAAAGTCATACTTATTATAGGAGCTATTTTTATTTCTGTTTCACTGATTTCTCCATTTCAATGAGTAAAATATAGTCCATGTCACATCGGCCACTAGAAATGTTTATATTCTTGATGATGTAAAGGGGTAAGATAAATTGGTTGAAAAGTTACTCATCAATAAGGACAGGTAATAAAATTTTCTAAGGATACAAAGTACGCCTACTTCGCAGGCAGTGATAACTGCTGAGTGTTACACTGCCTCTGCTGGCTGTGGAGGAACAATTCTTTACCTATACTCTAAAAGGATGTTTCAGAGGCAGACAGAAGGCAAACACACAAAAATATAAAAGCCATGCTGGGTTTGGCTTTAAAACATTAGCATAAATAAATAATGACAGAAAGTTAAAAAAAAAAAAAGTCTATGCTGTTATTCTCCTTTGTTTAGCCCTTGTTTATGGAGGTAATTCTACAAAGTTCTTTCTAAAACATGTTCCCCTGGTAGATTTCAACATAATAACAAAAACTTTCTCTAGGGGCCAGCACGTGGCGTGGTAGTTATGGCACTGGATTCCCACATGGCTGACCATGGTTCGAGCCTGGACTCAAGTGCCTTGAAAATCACACTGGCTAAAACATATGTGTGTGGCCATTCTCCCTAGGGGGTGATTTCTCACTTTCCCTCTCTCTCTCTCTCTCTCTCTGGAGAGCACATGCACCCTATTGCAACAACAAAAAAACACTCTTCTGAAGTTCTTTCCCTCCTCACCATTGCAAGTAACAATACTCTTCTACCTGATCCTCAAATACCTGTAGTAAAGTTTCCATCATGTTCATTAACTGCTCTCCTTCCCCCTCAGCAACACCTCTCCATACAAATACCTGCCAACTGGACCATGGCAAGCTGCTTTGTTAGTTCAAACATGGGCTATACCTATCTGCTGTTGGCCTTCTAGCTCTGGTTCCTTCACTGTAAAACCAATTGTTTGATATTTTACTACTGCACAATTCTTCAAAATCTCAAGAACTCTGAATATACCTATGTTAGTGTTTGGAATATAGCATACTAGATTTGAGTTGATAAATTGATACTTTCATCTTGGTCCCTTATTTGATAGGCATTTGACATTTGGCAAGATCAATGAAATTATGAAGTATTTATTACATAAAAAAAGTTATTTATGTAAAGAACACCCCCCCCAGCCACTATAGTGAAGCACTGTTAATCAGGATGTGTGTTCATGTGATAATGCTCCCCTTAATACAGCCATTTAAAAAGCTACAAGAAACAATAAGCTCCTCAACAAGGATTTATAAACAATCACTCTTGAATTCCTTAAACAAGGAAACAGACGCTATGCTGACGCACAAACACTTTAAAAAAATCAGAGGATTTAAAAATAGAACAGCACTGCCCTATAGATCAAAAATTGTTCAAAAGATTTTAGAAAGTTAAAATTCCTAAACTGATCTTGTATAGGACATACTCAAAACATCAAATGTAGGGTATGGAGCATTTTCTATATAGTGCAAGCATAGTATAGCAGTAAATACTTTAAAGAAAAACATCTTTGGCTTAAATTTTTTAAAACTGTCTTCTACAAAAAGGGAAGTTCAGCATGCATGGGAAACACCTTTTCCCCACACTTCAATATGAAAAGCTTTTACTTTCCATGTAAAGTCAGTTCTGAGTTACTACCCTTATCTCAAGGTCATCTTGTTTTTCTAAAATAGATCACCAAACTGGACATATCACCACTAACCATGTCTCTACCCATGTTGCTTTAGGTCTAATATAATTACTTTGTACTTTATTATCTATAGTAATTCTGTAACAGAAGTAAAATTTCCTACTCTTCTCTCTCATTTTTTAAACACACATTGCTTTGTGCTATCTTCCTTAAAGTACAGAAATATCTTCATATCACTGCCAGATATAGAATGATGTGTCCAACTGCATAATTTTCCCCTAGTGTTTGGAATGAATCCCAAAGGCCTGATGTAGTTACCGAATTACTATATGGCTGGAAACACTGGATCCGAGAGACAAACTATAAAACTAGATTCGAAATAAGACCCTGTTGCAATCTTTAAGGAACAGTTAATCTTAATTAAAAGTTTTTTCCAGAAACCTTTGCTTTTGCAGAGCAAATTACACTGAAGACAATGACTAAGTTTTGTCAAAAAGCGAAAGAACAAACATCAGACTATACAATAAAAATCTGTATATTATAATGGAAGTTTATCTGCAATCAGAACTTAAGGGAAAAACTACTCTGACTATAACTTTAGAGTAAACCATATTTGCTCAGAAATGAACAAGCCATTTATATTATCAGCAAGTCAAACAAAGCAAGAAATTAATTTCCTTTATTTTTATTATTCAACACATAAAATTTAAAAATCATATACTAATAAAAATCACCTTGTATGAGCCAGTATAACATGGCAGAAAGTATATGTGATTGAATAGAGAAACCTGATTTCTAGCTCTTCTACAATTAACTGATGATATATATGACTTCTAGCAAATCTACCTTCAGGAGTCCTGGGGTTTTTGTCTGTAAAGTGAGGGCTTGGACATCTCTTCTAACCCTAGAGATCTTTATCTCCATTTTGTAAATTATTGTTAAAACACTTGAGAGATCAAGTTGGCTGATGCCACAATAAAGTCTGAATTAAGTAAGGTTAAACCATTTTCTGTTTTTTTTTTTTTTTATGACAATGTCTAACCAACATAAAAAAGATCTAAAGATGTCTGTAAGTCGTATCATATTAGTGATTATATTTTCTCATGAATTATTATATCCAATGTCTTCTATTATAATTCTATATAAAATGTACAAGTTAAATTTTAGCTTTTGTTTCAGTGTAAACCACAGCCTGTACTGTATGTTCTCCAATAAAAATACCTATTAACAAACTAATCAAACCAAAAATCCTTCTTCTTTGGGGAGGCTGAGAAAGGCAAGAGGAGAAGAACAGACAAGTAGTTCAAGTATCGTTATAGTGAGGACTCGAAGTCCACTGCAGCTGGAAGAGACCTTAAAGATAACTGCTTTCAGTGGCGTGGTGGTTGAGTGCTGGACTCCCACATAGCCGACTGCAGTTCAAGTCTCGGACCTGGTGGCTTGCTTTCTTACTTTCCCTCTCTTTGTCTCTCTCTGGTCAAATTGAAAAAAATAATAATAAAGTTAAATATTTAAAAATTAATAACTGCTTTCAAGTTACTGCAGTTCATAGATGGTCTATTAAAAACCGTCTATCTCACCATGATTGAGTCTGTAACAGACCTTACAGAATAGTCCAAATAAACTAATAATTAACACTACAGTGTGTGTACTATACACCATAACTCATGAAAGCTGCTTGTGGATTTGTTATATCAATAAGATATCTATTATACAAATTTTAAAATTCAATTAAGCTTCAAAAGAATACATAAAAGAAAAATATCCAAAAATGTTACCTATAACACTTTTAAAACACTGGCATTTTATTTCTCAAGAAATTACTAAAAAAAAATTCTTAAAATACAAACTCATAAAAAATTAAATATTCTCATCATTAAATTTCATATACTTAAACCATTCAAAATATTATGCTACTCAAAAGATAAAAATTGATATAAGGAGAACAACTATCAGAAGTAACTAAACAAAACAGTAAAATAAAAGGTACGGTTCTCAAAAAAAATTATTACGGTTCTGTAATTGCTTATTAATAATCCTAATTCTGTGAAATTCACCAACTTAAACATTTTATCATTATCAAATTTTACAGAAACAAATGGACTAAAAATTTTGGAATCTGAAAATGTTTTCCAACCTAAATACCACTGACTCTTGATAATAAACACCAGTAAATCTTTAGTGATTGCTGCTTACATTACTCTACAGGAAAAAAAAAAAAAAAAGATGAAAACTTCAGTCTTCTAAACACAGATAAATATCTAAGGATTAATTTAAATATCCAAGAACTCAATGGTATTTAGGGAAAATGATGAAGTGATGACGCACTGACAATGTTTATGTTGTAAAACTTCTGTGAATCCTCTAAGGACAGAAAAACCAAGATAATGGGGCAAGAAGAGGAATCTGAAATTTCATAACCCTAAAAATACCTAAATAAATAACAAAGAAACAAACACTTTTGAAACCACACATCTGGATAATTTAATAAGACATTTTCATAGGTGTATTCTACACAGATCATAAAGAGCCTAGAGAAGATTGATGAAGATCAACTAAATAGGTAGGCAACACTAATTACTGAAAATTGTATCTTGGAATCAACTTTATATGTAATATATATATATGATAATTTACTTATTTTAAGCAGCTTATTTAAATTCCCTGTATTTATAAGTTTTTTTGTTTCTGTTTTGTGTCAGTAAACTGAAGTTTCATGGTGAAAAATCACAGTAAAACCCCACTAGTCTTCTCTCCCTATATTTCACATCCGTCTCATCTACTGTCTGCTTCTACTGAATGACGTGTACTTAGAGGAAGCAAACTGTTTTTCAAATTAACCTAGGGAAAAGGCTAGCAAACGAACGACTTATATAGGGGCCAAATAAAAACTGAAACCAAAACCAAACCAAATAGTGGCTGATTTATCCTAGATATGTAGAGATAACGAAGCAGATTATACTTATAAACTGCTTTTAAATCATTAATAAAAATATTATTCTAACTTTTAATTTCACTGAATACTAGGTAGCCCTGATAATTTTGATGGTACTTTTTTTTTTTTAGTTTTTTGCCATAGGACACATGCACTTGCATGAGAGAGAGAGAGAGAGAGAGAGAGAGAGGGAAAGTGAGATATCGTCCCCTAGGGATGATAGCCACACCACAACCCCTTCTCCTCCATTTTCCTCTTGGGATTTTGGGCATGCACGCATATGCACCTGACATGATTTTCAACTCTCTGGGTCTGGGACTTGAATTGTGGTCAGCCATGTGGGAGTCCAGCACCTTGACAAATATGCCACCTGCTGACCCCTTGACAGTACATTTTAAAAACAGAAACAATATTGTTGAATGTCATTCACCTTTACTAAAGTGGGTAAGACATAGATATCTTTAAAAATTTAACTTCACTGGTACCAGAATAATTTCTGTTGAGAATTCAGAATCCACATTTAGGAGTTTAAAATGGAAGAAAAATTTCTCCAGAAATACACATTTCCCAGAAATAGGAATGCATTTAGATAAGATGTATGCGTATGGAGGTTAACTTTCACACTCAGCTTTAAGAACAGCACTTGTGGGAGCCAGCAGGTGGCATGATGGTTAAGGGCGCTGGACTCCCACAAGTAAATAGCAGTTTGAGTCCTGGACCTGGTGGCTTGCTTTCTCACTTTCCTTCTCTCTCTTACTGTTCCTCTCTGGTCAAATTTAAATAAATAAATAAAGTTAAATGTAAAAAGACAAAAACAAAACAAAACAGATTTATGAGTTAATTTTATTTTAAATCACTTGACTGCCTTTGAAAATAAATTTATATTTGTATTTATCAGAAAGCTGTCATATAAAGTATTTCATTTATTCTTTACAACAACATTCTGAGACAGCTATTTGATGTTGATTTTTGAGATGAAAAACTTGGGTTCTGAGACTTTTAGGGACTGTGATTGAGTGAAGATGCCAAGCCTAAATTCAGTGTTTTCATTATACCACAACTGTACTGTAGTACACAATTAATTATCAAGCTTTCCACAATGTAAAGAAGTTGAAAGTTGAAGAACAGATTGTCATTTGTTACATTAGAAGATATAAAATTAATTCTAAAAAATGAATCATTATATTTGTTCTTTACCTCTCAACCATTATGTTTGGTTCTGCTTTTAGCAGTCTTTCTAGGTGGTCTGGAAAGTTCCTATGCTCCCCTAGATTTGTCTTTAACTGCCCTGCTAAGGTTAAACTGTTTTCTTAAGTAACACCAGTTATAAAAAGCAAAAAAGAAGAAAAAAAAGGGAAAACTTAAATAGTGTACAGTAACAGAAGCTATCTTCATTAATCTCAGTAATTTGTGAAGAAAAATATGATAAAGGAATAAAAAACTTTTTCGATTCCAACAATGATTATTTACCACTAACTTTAGTCTTGTTCCTGCAGCTTTCTAACTGCATAAATTTAGCCAAATGACTTGATTATCTCCTCTGTAATTCTGATTATAGGGTTAAAAAATAATCTACATAGGCCAAACACAGGGTCTTGTAAGTAGGTGGGTGCTGCTGCTTGGGAGCTGGGAGCATTCGAGGAGGCAGGGAGTGTGCGCAGGCCAGTCTGGCCCAGCCTAAGCAGGGGTACGTACCTGTGGTCGTAGCTAACGGAGACTGGGGCAGGAAGACTGGGAAGTGGCAACATCCTTTCAAAAATACCTCTCCCCTCCCAGTCCTTACCAAGTCTTATGAAAAAATAATAAATGTATGTGAATATGGTAGAAGAAGTATACAATTTCAAAGAAATATGTAGTAGTGGTATTTTCAGTCAAAGAAAATGAACTCTGATAGTACACAGGCCTTTGATTGTTGTTAGTATTCTATTTTTGGCACAGTGACCCATGCAGCAAAGAAAATCAGCTTGAAGCAGAAAAACGAAAGTGACAGGCAGCTTCGTTTCTTACCTGCGTACATATGGTACGTAAGCCTCTCTATAAGTTTAATAACAGTTCCTGCTTTGATAATTGGAATTCCAGCCTTGGGCTGTATGTTCTCTTCAAACAGAATATTCTCTTCAGAGTCAGGCTCTGCAAATCTATAAACATCAGCACTAGGCAGCCTCATCTGCTCCTCCTTCTCTTCCTGTAGCATTGTTACATCAAGCATCCTTTCCAGGGTACTCCGGTACTGTAAAGATATCAATGCTGCCATCCAATTGTTTTTCTCTTCCGCTGACTTGGCAGAAAATATAACACTATTTTCGTCTTTTAAAATTATTTCAAAAGCATGCTTGTATTCATTGGTGTCATCTTTATCATTAATTTGTACCTTTCGCATAAAAAACTTTTCTTTAAGACGATATTCTGCATTGCTAGCACCAGGAAGTCTTGGCTGCCCGTGATTTGATTTACAGCAAATCATTAAGCCATCAAAGAGAAATATGTGTCTCTCATGTTTGGCTCCTACACGTGTAAGAGTTCCTTCCATTATGAACTCATTGCAACACTGTCCAATATCTTTTCCCTCCCAACCATCAATATTCTTCTGAATCTCGTTCATTTTCTTGATTGCTAGTTGTTTCCCCTTCATTTGCTGACTATAAAACCGACAAGCAGATTCACTGGTATAAAGGAAAAGACATTATTAGTACACAGAGTTCATGTAAATAAGGGAGAGTGTAAAGGTACATTTTAAAAAGTTGCACTGATAAGGTGTTTACTACTTCCCCAAATATATTAGTGTTAAAGAATTACACAATTTTGGAAATTTAAGCAACACAGAAGAGAAATTTTTTTTCAGTGCTCTAAAAAAGAACAATAACTACTGATAAAGTTCTACCCTATAAATTCAGCTACAGAATGATTATTTCTACCTTGACTACTAAATATTTAGAATGACAAGTAATGAGAGGTAGCCCAGTATAGTGGGGTAAAGTATCTTAAGAGATTAAAATAAATTATTTAGAAGTGTTTAAATGGACAGACCCAAAGCTAAAAACACGTAGCACATATTATAATTAGGAAAGTGGAAGCAATGTTATCTGAATTAATGCCTTGAGTTATATAATCCCTAAAAAAAGGGACACTACTAATTTTACTCCGACAGAACAATGACACTGACATAAATCTACCCGATACATTTGCTCTCTCTCTCCTTTAGCTTACCAGTTGACTCTCAGGAGTTCTTGTCTGGGAGTATGCAAGGAAAATGCACAAATATGAAAGGTTTTTCAAACAATAACAATTCTCTTGGCTTTGATGTCACTTCCTCTGAAAGACTAAGCTTGTCACTAAAACTATTTTCTTCATTGTTTACTTGAAGAGCGAACTGGGATCGCTGAATTTATACCACAACATTGAGGGTGAAGGGATGATATTCTAAAAAATGAAAATATTCACCTCAGTCTTCGTTTTGCAAGACTTTTAGAACATATTTTTTCCATACCACTCTGAACATTAAGCAAGGCTGTTATTGCTTGTTTTAAACATTCCTTGTCTTCTTGATCTTCACTCTTTTCTTCTAACTGCTGTAAAATCAAAATGACAAATCTGAACCAGTAGAACAGTTTTGGTCATATAATAAACCTATTTTATTTAAGGATAAAAATAACATTCTCGATTCTTTTTATGACAATGAGATAATTAAATGCATCCTAAAATATATTATTCTTTTAAGAAGTGTTTTTCTTCTTTTATATTGTTATCTATATTAATATACAACTAAGTTTTTCCACATTAAAAAAACAAGTGTAGCAGTGGTTAAAAAAAGGTTATACTTTGTGATAGGCAGTAATGTGCAGTTTCTCAGGTTGCATACTACTGAAAAGAAATGAGGGGGTATAAACTGTCTTTTTAACTATCAGAGGACTTAACACAGCACTAGGCACAGAGATCAGATTTTTTTTCAAGTATAAAATTTCATCTGAGATAGGTGAGCTCTGCATTATCACTGAAGAAAACTAGGACAATAAGTAAGATCAAATACACGGAGAAGGGTGCAGTATAAGGGAGAGAACTTCAAAAACAAAACCAAGGATCAGATTTTGATCTGTATCTGTGTTACTGTGGGGCAAGTTACTTGATCTTTGAGCCTCACTTCCTCCAGCTGTCAAATGAAACATAAAAAGCCTTGTCCTGCATGTCTTATGAGATTATTAAAAATCAGAACACTCTGGGGCCGGATGGTGGCACAGTGGTAAAAGTGCAACACTCTGGGGTAGACCACATGGGAAGGCTGCTGTGTCCAGAGGCCTCCCTGGAGAAGGGAAGCACACGTGATCCAGGCTGCCTGGGGGTGGAGGTAGACTGTGGCATCAGAATCCTGTACGAGTGCTGTCTGTTTTTCTCTCCGTCTCTTTCAACACTCTTGGAGGTGCTGTCTCTGCATCTCTCTCTCTCCTCTTTCTCACTCATGGAATAAATAAATAAACTTTAAAACGATCTAAGCACTCTGTAATGGTACAAGTGTAAGTTGTTTTTCTTTGTAGTCCTACAGAATTAACATTAGTGTCATGAAGAACAATCATATCTACATGTTACGATACTGAGCAAAACTAGGCACACACTTACGAAGCTACTAGTCTTATTTATCAGTGGCAAATATCTATGCATGCTGGGCAGAAAGTCTGTGCTTACCAAGAACTAAAGTCACAGATAACTGCTGATTATTAATACAACAAGGTGGCTGTACTTCAAGCAAGCAAATAACAGGGATATAAGTGACAATAATTCAGTAACCTTCTAAACCTGTTCCTAGCCACCAAAAAGGAAAAGTTAAGAAACAACATGCAACTATCAATATTTAAGAACATCTACTTTGTACCATAAAGGAAAGAAATTGAGAAATAAAACCATAAAATATTTAAAGCAATTTATAAAGAAGTTTACTGTTTAATGACTTTCATTATTCATTAGTTCTTTTAAGGATTTTATGTTCACATGTTGATGAGCAGTATTCTAAAGGTCAATACCATATTCATTTCTGATAAAAATTACTTATTTACACACACACACACACACACACACACACACATACTTGTACACGACTGAAAAGTATACAGATTTCCAATTCAATGTCACAAGCCTTTTCTTTTCCCCCATAGGACATGTGCGCTCATTGGAGAGAGAGGGGAAGTAAGAAATCACACCCCAGTGGGAATGGCCATCCCAAAAAACCTCCTCTATTTTCCCCTCAGAATTTTGGGTATGCAAACACATGCGTCTGGCATCATTTTCAAGATTCTGGGTCAGGAACTCAAATCCGGATTGGCCATGTGGGAGTCCAGCACTTTAACCACTATACCCTGTGCTGCCCGCCCCAAGACATTTTTACAAAAATAATTTATTGAAAAAAAAAATATATATATATTTGGAGAGGTTTTTGCTATTGGGCGCATGCGCTTGCCAGAAAGACAGAGACATAAAGTGAGAAATCACCCCCCAGGGGGATGGCCACGCCACAATCCCTTCTCCCCATTCTCCTCTCGGGATCTTGGGCACGCATGCACACGTGCCTGGCGTGAGTTTAAGCCACCAGGTCCAGGACTTGAACAGCGGTCAACTACATGGGAGTCCGTGATATAGCCATTATGCCAACTGCTGGTCTCTACTTAAAATATTTTAATGATCAGTATTTCAGAAGTGATGAATACTATATTATAATGCCTACTTATGCTCAGCTTTTATTTTCTTATTAATTTCTTATGTTCATTATTGAAAGTACACCATACTTTGCACTAAATGCATAATCTGCACTTTCAGAAAAACAGTCTTATTTGTGTTAAGAAAAATGTATCAGTGGCAATTCCCCACATAAAAAAGGGTAGTAAGAAAAATATGTATTGGGCCAGCCTGTGGCCTGTTAATAAATGTAGCTGACTGTATGATTCTAATGTTGGACCTGGCAGATTAAAAAAAGAAAAAAAAAGATCAAGTGTGAATGTGTGTTTGTGTATGTTTATGTACAAGCCAAAAATCTCAAAAGGAAGGAAAAATGGAGAAGAGATTGCCCCACAGGGGGTACTTTAAATACATACGTTAAAACAGAACAACAAAAGCCTTCAAATACCTTTTACTCACAGCATGGCTCTTCATGGTGGCTAGTTAAAGAAACTTAAACACACAGAGGTGGATATGGGTCCTGCTGCTGAACTTTGGGGACAAATAACCAATGCCTGCTGGGAACAGGACTTCTAAAAGGTAACTATGTCTGGAAGGCTGTGGTCCAAGGCCATTTTTACTGGCAATAAGCGGGGCCTCAGGAACCAAAGGGAGCACACAGCTTTTCCAAAATTTGAAGGTGTTTATGTCTGAGATGAAACGGAATTCTATTTAGGCAAGAGGTGTGCTTTTGTGTAGAAAGCAAAAAAAACTAAAAACAAAAACAAAAAAACACAACACAATGACTCCTCGTGGCAAACCAAATAAAACCAGAGTAATCTGGGGAAAGGTTACTGGTGCCCATAGAAACTGGCATAGATCAAGCCAAATTCTGAAGCAACTTTCCTGCTAAGGCCATTGGACACAGAATCCATGTGATGCTGTACCCCTGAAGGATTTAAAACAATGAAAAGTAAATAAATAAAAATGGATTCATGTTCTTATAAATTAGAAATAAAAAAAAAAAACTTTAAGAATAAAAAGGCTTAAAATTTCTAAGGAAAAGAACAGAAAGCCAGTGACTAGGTATTATAAAGAAAGACACTAAGTTTTTTTTATTTAACTGACATTACTCGTGGGCTGAAGGTTGGACTCCATAATACCATGAAGTACTTTCCATCCCTATCATTCTAAACTATTTGTCTCCCACTGGACAGAATTTTTGAAGACATAAAATGTTACCATTAACTTCATCAAGTTTAGACTAAAAAGCAGTAGATAATTTAACACTGAAAACTATATACATTGAGAACAGACAGGGCCAGCAGGCAGCATAGTGCTTGTGGCACTGCGTTTGAGTCCCAGACCAGGCAGCTTGAAATTCACAGCAGGCGCATATGCGTCCATCGGCAAAATCCTGAGAAGAGAATGGAAGAGAGAGGACTGCGGTGTGGCCATCTTCCCAGAGGGTGATTTTTCATTTCCTCTTTGTCTCTCCAGCAAGTGTATTTGTCCTATTGCAAAAATCTCTCTTAAAATAAAAAAAAGTAAATTTGGGGCCAGCAGGTAGTGTGGGGACTGGGCCACTGGACTCCTACATTGCTGACCACAGTTCAAGTCCCAGACTATGCAGATTGCTTTCTCACTTTCTTTCTTTCTCTCTGTCTCTCTCTCTCACGAGCATACATGCCCTACTGCAAATTTTACAATAGTAATATTAAATAAATAAAATCATCCTTTTTTAAAAAAAGGCAAATTTAATGAAAGCACGATCGAAAAGTACACCATTTCACTGAGTTGCTTCAGAATTTAATCACTCAAAGGTGAAGTCAAAAGATATTCTGGTCAGTAACATATAAGGCAATGTTTTAGTCTTAAAAGAACTGACATTAGAGGATAGCAGAATATGGACAACCTGATATTTTGTCCCTGGTATTTTTCATGTTACCTAATCCAGGCACACATACTAATGTCATGCAAAATATACAACTGTAATGCACATAAAAAGAATTATTTTAAAAATCCATTCAAACATGTATTTGATTTTCAATTAAAAATGTTTCAATTGGGCCAGCAGATGGCATAATGGTTACATCATTGGACTCCCACATGGCTGACCACAGTTCAATTCCCAGACCAGGTGACTTAAAACTCATGCCGGGCATGTGTGTGTGCACATGCCCAAAATGAAAATGGAGGAGGAAGGACTGTGGCATGGCTACCTCCTCCCCCCTCCTCCCGCCGATGATTTCTTACTTTCTGTCTCTTTGTCTCTCTGGCAAGCACATGCATCCCTATAACAAAGAAGTCTCTCAAAAAAAAAAAAAATTTTCAAATTTCTGGGTCAGTTGTCTAATAATTAACTAAAAGCATTTTGCATCAGAATATAGTGATGCAAATATTGTTAGTATTTTTTTCTTTTTTCTTTATTTTTATTATTATTCATACATTTAATCACTATACATTAATTATGTTGTAAAGAAACTTTACCCAGTATGAAATACACCTAAGTCCAGCCCAGTTGAGAATACTATACACGTCCTTACCAACAAATAATAAACCATTCTGTGTTCCATAAATTATTGTTAATATTTAAAAAATAAACCCAAAGTATATGTAAATAAAACTTTCCTCGTGAAATTACTTTAAAATGTCATTTTTTACCTTCATAGCTAATGCTATGAAGGCAGCATCTAAAACAAATTTCAGTGTAATAAATGACCTTCCTAATAAGCATTCTTTGCCTCTTTTATTTAACTTAGTTGATTTAAACTGGGCACTGATACAAAATAATTCAAGCTAATAACCATCAAAGAAGTGTGGCTTACTGCTATAGAAACAGTGCAGTAGTAATCAGCATGCAAATAAGACTCAACAAAGCATCATCCTCCTGCCACCAAAGTGATATTCAATACCATGCTTCTTCTCA